CAGTGGGGCTGCCTCCAAATGAGCACATTTAGGGGGGCCCTGAGCTCCCCCAAGCACCCGCAGCCCACCCGGGTGGCCGCCAGGGTTGAAGAGCTCGCTCCTTGCACCACGAGTATCTCAGCCCAGCATGTGGCAGTTGTGGCAGCACTCAGTCCTCTGAGCCCCCATGGGGTGGCATCCGGAGGGTCTGGTCCGGTGGGGAGGCAAGAGAGGTGGCATTTTGCTGGCAGGGCAGCACGCATGGGGGGGGGGTGCCCAGGGTGGGTGTGGAGGTGATGCTTTCCCCAAATGAGCATTGCTCCTCCTGGCAGCCCATTCCCGCAGCATGGCTGCATGGTGCCTGGGCTGCAGGGCAGCCTGACCATCAAAATCCTTGAGCTCGCCCTGCTTTTGCGGTGGTGCTGCTTTGCAGCGGCCGGGCGGAGGGCACACGCTGGGTCCTGAGCCCAGCACCATGGGCTGGGGGCTTTCTGCCTCTGTCCCAGCAGAGGAGCACGGTGGGAACGCCTGTCCACCTCCAAGGACAAGGGCAGACAGCAATGCTGAACGGCAGCAAACTCCAGCCCTACTCGAAAGAGGCCTCCTGCCACCCCGCGTGTGTGCACATGCTGCTGTCACTGGCTGTCACCGCAGATGAGAGCATGGCCAGATGGAGAGGGTCGAGATGCGAGTGTTGTGGCAGGGCAGTGTTGCAGTGGGTAACGCTAAGGGTGGAAGGGTTAAAACCCGGTAGGGCTAAGCCAGCCGGAGAAGGGGAGTTTGGGGTGGCACATCAGCCCATGCCGAACTGGCAGCCTGGCTGAGGAGGGTCCCAGAAGCAGCCGGGACCCAGCACCTCGGGGTGAGCTTGACCCTGGCCATCCCACGGCTGCTGTGGGGATGCAGGGCAATGCTCGGCAGCGGCACGACAAGGCAAGGGGCAGGGAGGCAGGACAGAGCCACCGCTCCGTTTGCAGGAGGCAGGATAACCCCAGGCTGACCCCTTTCACACACATTGCACAACACCCCTAAATCAATTGCATCTTATTATTACAATATCAATATACAATATTCCTACAATAACACCATTGATTTTCTACTCAGAGGCTGCACCTAAGTCTGTTTTAAAAAGGAGGGAGTTAATAGTGCCCTCATTAAAAATCTATAGATTAGCCCCCACCCCAAAAAAAGAAAAAGCAGTTTATATTCATTAGGGCTATTGAATATAAAGTAATATGTTTGTGTAGGACATTGGAGTAATGTGATAATCCGTCCGCATATCAGGGAGAAATCCACTTAGCAACCCTGTCAGCTTGACAAGAAAAATGTGCCCATAAAGTCAGGAATGCATTGAGGGAGCGAGCATGAGGAGAGCGGGGGCGCGCATGCGTGCGCCTGCGTGGCACCCGCAGTGCCACCTTCACCCCAGCCACATGTCCCCCTGCCCTGGCTTGGGGACATAGGTGGGCGCCTCCAGAGCCCCTGGAGGTGTCCGGGGCTGGGGCAAGCTGGGTACACTGAGGTAGGGGTGGCAGGGGGCTCGGCGCCCTGCCAGCCTCTGCAGCCCCAGGCAGGGTCACCCCGATGGGACAGGTCCAGCGGGTGCCAGCATGGGTGCCGGGGCAGGCCCGCCAGGGCTGCGTGCCCGCCAGGGAGAACAGGGCTGGGGGGCAGGGCTGCCCGTGTCTCCCCGCCTGCCTCAGACCCCACTCGTCTCCTGCCCTGTGGTCACCTTTGCAATGGATTAAGCATTGAAAGAGCAGCAATGCAATCCTGTTCGCGCTCTCTTAGGCTGTCAATTGCCATTTTTGTAATAGAAATTCCTTTCACAAGGTAACGATGGCCAGATTTAGAGGATTTCATATTGCTAATAATTCCCCAAACAGCCATCTGACTGTGTTGTTTTAAAAGCCGCTTAGTTTTTTGCTTTGGAGTTTATGAAAATCTCCCACTCTAATATCCCGAGAGCCAGCCTATAATTGTGTTATTAAATCAATCGGAGCGGATTACATTGTAAAATCAATAGATGGCTGTAATTGCATATTAGAAAGTTGTTCTGCTGTTGTTGATTTTTTTTTACATGGATAATTATAATAAGCATGTTTACCTTAGTGCTGATTTGGAATGAGGCTCACTAAATGACTTATGATGAGCTTGGTGCTCCTGCTGCCAGGGGACTGTGGCATCATTTGGGATGGCGAGGACAATGCTGCTGGCACGGGCGGGCAGGTGGCACCAGCCCACCGGGGTCCCCCTGGCTTAGCAGGGCAGCGGCCCGGAGCCCAGGGAGGCTCCCAGCACTGGCACCCTCTGCAAGAGCACATCAGAGCTTTAGGAAGACGGCTGGTGGGGTTCAGGAAGCAGCGGGTGATCTCAGAGGGTCTCCCTGGGGACCAGCTTGAGAGTCCGAGGAGGTGCCATGAGGTCTCACTGCAAGTTTGGCAGCTCCCCAGGTCTCTGCGCAGTTCAACCTTTCAGCCATATGGAGCAATAGCCAAGTCCCAGCGACCCCCGCCAGCCCGGGGTGCTGCTGTGGGCAGGGAGAATGGGCAGCAGGATGCCTGGGAGTGGTGAAGGGCAGCAGCCACAGTTGTGCTTTCAAATCCAAGCCGCTCACCTGCCTGACACAGCTCAGAGGCCAGGCTTTGCTTTGCTGTTTCTTTTTTGGGGCATCAGGCCAGAGCTGACTGCGGTACTTTGGCTGCAGGCAGTTGCACTCCCCCTGCCTCGGTTTCCCCAGCTTTCGAGCCACTGTTTCCCTGTTAGGTCCCATTGGAAGCTCGCTCCAGGGGCAGGTCTGGTCCTGGTTTCCTGGCAGCTCAGCTGGCTGAGGGGGCGAGACGGATGGAGCAGGGAGTCCTAAGGACAGCGAGGGGCTCACTTGAGCAGGAACAAGTGGCAGCAGGAGCTGGTGCTGTGGCTTGGCTGGGCAGGACACCCTTCATCTCCAGGGCCCTTCTGGAGCCATTGGTGCCACCTTGGCCAGCAGAGAAGACAGAGGCACAGAGAGACAGGCTCCCCTCTGCCAGTGGAGCTGGGGACATCTCTTCTTCATCAGGCTGTCCTCATGCCCAGCTCCCTTCCCCAGCGTGGCACATGATGAGGGCAAGGGGTGCCATGAGAGAGGCTGGAGGGACACATGGGAGGCACATGGCTCTGACAGGGACGTTACTTCTCCCACTGCTGGCTCAGCCAGGAGGGTCCCCAGCAGCCCAGGGCAGCCCCCCTGCACCTCTGACTGACACTGGGGGACAGGTGATGGCTTTGCCACTGGGTCAGTGGGCACAGCGGGGATGGGCAGGGCTGTTGGTCTGGCAGGGAGTGGCAAGGCAGCCTGGCAGCCCCGTCCCTGCAGGCAGGCACCTGGCAGCAGGGCAGCGCTGCCCGTCTGCACAGGGCCCTCAATCCAGCACGCGGCACCATCAGCAGGCAGCCTGCTGTCTCCTAGACAGTGAAATATGGCCACAATTAGCCCGGATACAGTTCAATTATGATAAACAGCGTTTGCACCCTTTAAGCCGTGATTAAAAGGCCTCCTCCCGTTGATAGAGAGACCTAATTTCACATTATTATCGCTGTAGCTTGATTATAAAGCACTGCCTGGATTTACAGTTGGGAGATGGATGTGGAGGCTTCTTTATCATTTACACATCAGTAATGATGCAGCCTTCCCTCCACCACAACATCCATCCAGCGGCAGCAAGGAGAGGGGGGCCCTGCCTGCATTCCCCCCCTCCTGGGGCATCCTCTCCCCGTGTCAGCTGGGCCCTGCTGCCACATGCAAGTGGGCAAAGTCACCCTTACGGTAACAGCTTGATAAATGGGCGGGCGGTAATGAAATGGAGACATCAAGGCGTGGGGCGAGGAAGAAAGAGTGGTAATCGGAACGAGTGGAGCTGTCCCGAAACGGAGGGGAGCGGGAAGAAGGATCGCCTCTGCGCCGTGTGCTGTCAAGGGAGAAATTACACATTTACTCTTGCTTTTTCTTAAGGAGACGGCCCTCATAGATCAAAACATGGATTTACAAGCCAATTTTCAACATGAAATATAGACACCAGGAATCAATTTAAGCCCGGCTTCTATTTTAGCAAACGGTGTCTGAGTTTAGTCCCAGGTAAATAACACCAGCCGGAGCCTTCCCCCTCCCTGGCTTGCTGCCCCAACCACTCACTATGGCAGCAACGGTGCTGCTGGCTGGCCCCCAGCACCCACTTCGACCACGGCCCTGCACCAGGGACGGCTGTGGCTTGCCGGCCCACCCACCTGCTGCGTGTCAGCCTGGGGCCAGCAGGCATGGGGCAGCACTGAGGGCTGGCTCTGGCGGGGACAGGGACGACCCCAAAACACAGCAGCGAGCAGAAGGAGCCAGGTGCCACACAGCCCCTGCCTGAGGAGGGCAAGAGGAAGGACAGGACCCTGCTTGGCTGATGGAGGGCAGCTCCGGCATCACCTGCTATCCCCATCCCAGTGCAGGGACAGCCCCTTTGCTGACCAGTGCCACCGAGGGACAGGGGTGCTGGAAGAGGAGGCTGGGGTGACCAGCACTGGACTTGCAGGGAAGCAGCCGCTGGCCAAGAGCTGGAGGCCAGTGTGGGTCCAGCTTGCAGGAACACCGCTTTCCCCATCCACCAGCTCCCCATGGGCTGTGGGGCAAGCGCCAGCCTGGAGGACCCAGGGATGTGTCAGTCAGCAGCCTGGGCGATGCCACTGCCCCAGGCAAGCCTCTGGGTCCTGGGCATGGGTGCATCGCAGTGCAGAGCTGGGCCATACAGGGATGAAGGTGGCCAGCGCCAGGGAGCCAGGGACCCTGCACTTGCCCCACACCACCGCAAAGCCCTTGAGACAGAGTGCCTGGACTAATGAGGACACAGGGGCTGTGCTCAGAGCTGCATGGCCCCCCAAAGGCGATGCGGGGAGCTGTGCAGCTCCGAGCACAGCCCCAGCATGGGACTCAGAGCTTGATTCAACACCTTCCAGTCAGATCGTGGCTCTAACCTGGCATCTCTGTGCTCTCTCCGCAGATGACTGTAAGAACATCGCCAACATCATGAAGACACTGGCCCATAGAGGCTTCATCTTCAAGCAGACCTCCAAACCCTTTTGATCCCCAAGGCAAGCCAGGCAAGGGCTGCATGCGCCCGGCGCCGGCGAGGCGGGGAGGACGGGCTCCAGCATTAAACAAAAAACGGCAACCGAGGCCAGAGGAACCGACACAAAAAAAAATCTCAATTTCAGCTGTTAACTCCAGTAGAGGTTGTATATATGGGAAGGCAAATCTGTGTAGACCTGATGTGACTCCCTCTCTGGGCTGCTCCGGACATTATGCCATGCTAGCGGACAGCCGCGTAGGGCGCTTGCACCACATTTTAGACTTGTAGTTTGTTCTTTTTCTTTGGCTCCTGATTTCCGTCCCTCCCTCCATATCCCACCCTGTCCTCCCTCTCCCACCCTGTAGCCAGAGCATTCCCCCATCTCCTCCCTGGCATGGGCTGTCCCCACCTTTCCTTCTTCTTTCTTTTCTCTAGTTTTGTTTTCAGGCCTTGATGGCTGCTGCAGCGAGGCTGGCGTGTGCCCGCATCCAGGCAGCGCTCATGGAGGCTCAGCAGTGTCGAGACGGCCCCTC